TTGTAATAATTGTACTAATAATAAGTGCGCACTTTGTGAATCGGGATATGGTCTTTTCAATAATAAATGTAACAGCTGTTCGTACATAGAAAATTGTGTTGATTGTAACGTTACTGGTTGTTCATTGTGTGCAGAAAGTTACAAATTAGAAAATGAACTTTGTGTATTGAATTGTACTGATGAAAATTGTGTTGCATGTAATACGACTGACATCTGCACTTCGTGTATAGAAGGGTTTTCCGTTGTGAATAATTCTTGTTTTAATTGTTCAGAACACACCAGTGGTTGTTTGACTTGTAATGAGACAAACTGTTTATCATGTATTGAAGGAACCTTTTTAACTGAATCAGAAACCTGTGCAAATTGTATTACAAATTGTTCTACATGTCATAATACAAATGAATGTGATAAATGCAGTATGAATTTATTATATCATCCCGACATCAAAGAATGTGGTGTATGTCCTTCAGATGGGTACACCGCAGTTGGAGAAACGTGTTACAAATGCCCAAGTAATTGTTCTGTGTGTTCAGAAAGAACATGTGAAGAGTGTATGCCTGGATACACACGGTTAGATAGTGGTTGTGAATTGTGTTCGAATGTATACACCGGATGCTTAGAATGTGTCAACAACAACTGTTTAGCATGTGCTGAAAAGAATTATTATGATTCGACAACACGAGAATGTGTATCGTGTTCTTTATTCTCAGAACAATGTGATGAGTGTGATGAAGATAGTTGTACCAAATGCCAAGATGGATATGGAGTTAATGAAAGAGGTTGTATGCACTGTAAAAGCAATTGTGTTCAATGTGATAATGGTGAGTGTCAAATATGCAATGGGACATACACTCCATATGAAAATTCGTGTTATAATTGCTCCAAATTTGAATTGTGTGAACAGTGTAACAGCACAAACTGTATAAAGTGTGTTAATGGCGAAAGTCCAGTTGACTCAAAGTGTTATAATTGCTCAGGATATACAAACTGTGCCAATTGTGATGCAACAAAGTGCATTTCTTGTCAACAGAATTGTTATTTAGAAAACGCTAATTGCAAATTGTGTTCGACTAAATACGAAGGATGTTCACTTTGTGACTTAAATACATGTAAAGAGTGTGCAGAAGGATATTTCATGACTGAAACTGGCATATGTAGTAAATGTGTAACTAATTGTGCAAAATGTTCTAACACAACACATTGTGAGACTTGTGAAGAAGGGTTTATGGTTATTGGAAACGCATGTGGAACGTGTGAATCTTATGGTGAATGTTCTCAATGTAATTCCGAGCAATGTGTAATATGTAAAAGTGGATATTTCAATAACAATGGATATTGCTACAGATGTGTCGAAAACTGTTTAGACTGTATTAATAACAACACGTGCACTAAATGTTCTGCAGATTTGAAGTTTAAAGAAGACGAGAAGAATTGCACCGAGTGCCCCACAACCACAAATTACTTTGTTGATGAGAAGAACACATGTAAAAAGTGCAAATCTGAGTGTACAAAATGCACAACACTTGATAAATGCAGTGAGTGCATTACTGGGTACTTCGTTGACTCAACAAGTCACTGCGTTGATTGTGTGACTAAAGGCTGTTTAACTTGTGATGCGATAAAATGTCTAAGTTGCGCATTAGGAGAAGTTGTTGACTCACTTGGAAAGTGCTCAATTTGTTCCGTTGCAACAAATAGTGCCAATTGTGTTAAATGTCACAACGAAGGAAGTTCGGTAGTATGTGATGCATGCAAAGATGGATTTTTCATGGATGATACAAAGACGAAATGTATTACATGTGACCGATGTGGAGATTTGGGGTGTCAAATAGCAACACAAAAATGCTACAATTGTGAGAACTCAACTGACATTTTAATTGATGGAATTTGCAAAGAAATGGGCACTTGTAAGACTCGAGGAGATAATGGGAAATGCTCTGAGTGTATAGACAATTACATATTAGTGGGTAGCAAATGTGTTCAAATAACAACAGAAACATCAAATGTTGTTATGTACAATGGAAAGACGATATTAGCAAGCGATGTGAATTGTTCTGCAATTGATTCGACCAAGAAAACGTGTACTTTATGTGACGAGGACTATTATATAAACAATGGAATGTGTATGCAATGTACAGACATCTACGATAGTTGTATATCCTGTGGGTATATGAAAATAGAGAACTACAAACAGGTGATATGTAGTACATGTACTGTAGGCTATTACCCTGACATTTACTGCAAGCAATGTACTGACATGAATGGATGCAAAATGTGTGTTAACTATTTGAACGAAAATGAGACATCAACAAAGAATTGCACTGAATGTCTTGACCTCTACGAAATGGAAAATGGAAAGTGCAAATTACTTGAAATTGTATAGAAGCCGTGAGTGGACGATGCACTCTGTGTGAAAAAATTATTT